TCTGCTTGGCCACGGGGCTCTCTCTTGAATGTCCACACTGCGTCCCCCTCTGCTTGGCCACGGGGCTCTCTCTTGAATGTCCACACTGCGTCCCATTCCCACCCTGGGTCTGCAGCCTCTCCTTCTTCAGTGACCCCTTCCTATCAGCATTCAAAACATGTTCAGATCTCTCCTGTTAAAATACAATTGGTAAAAACCCTGTAGTCCTCGGATGTTCCTTCCCTTCGTCTTTTCTCCCGTGCACAGCCTAACTCCCTGAGAGAGTTCTCAGTGTCTAATGCCTCCGTGCCCTGTCCCACCCGCTCTGCAGCTCACTGCGCCCGGCTATTGCTTGTGACCCTTCAAACAGCAGCTCTCGCCGAGGTCGCCTCACTGTAAATCCAGTGGACGCATCTCCGTCCTTAGCTCCCCTGACTTCTCAAAAGCATCTGTGTCATCTTCCCCACCGGACCTTGCCATTCCCCACCTGTCACCCTGACTGCCGGCTGTCCCGCCTCTGCACACTCCCCCCGCCACCGATGGTGATGCCCCTGTTTTGTCCAGGGTCCTCTTCCGGGACGTCTTCCCGACTCCATGGCTTCATCCATGTGCTGATGACTCTCAGCGTCTATCTCCATCCCCCCTTCTGCTCCTCCAGTCCCGCGTATCCAGCTGCCTTCTGGACACCTCCACCTGGATACCGTCAGGCATTTCAAACTCAACCTGAGGAAATTGAATTAATCTGCTGTCTCTTGACTTCAACTCCTACATTTCCCATCCCAGTGGATGGTACCACTGGCCACTAGCAGCCCAAACCAGAAGCAGGGTCTTCATCCTTATGTCTTCCTCTCCCTCACTGTCCTCATCCAGCTGGTCACTAAGCCGTTCAGCTCACACTTCAAAATACCCTTGAATCGGCTTGCTCTCCCCCATCTCTACCGCAAGCGTCCTAGCCGTCATCTCCCACCTTGACTACTACGATCATCTCACGCCTGGGTTTCCCACATCTGCTCTTGCCTGATGCTAATCCATTTTACTTTCAGATCCACCTGACCTCTTCTCATCCTTCTTGCAAAAGAATAGAGTAGGCAGTAGGGTTTTGAAATGTCATTTTCAAAACTAATAAGGATGTGTGTCTATATATATGCCTACTGTATGTATACAGAGAATATGCAAATTTCAAGCATCACTTCTCCCACAACTGAGCTGCTGTCACCCCGGGGGTGGGATCTGGCAGCTGTTCCCTCATCCATAAACAGCCTTACTTAGCTCATTAAGAAAGGACAGGAAGAACAAGGCTATATCCATGAGTATCTGCCTTAGAGACTTCTTTTTCAAGTTTTATAAGGTGGACTTGGCTGTAAAGGGGAAATTAGCTTAAAAAATAGTTCATTTTCAGCTAACTGGGTCCAAAGTATCAGCTCAATTCCTTTAAGAATTTTTGAAATTCCAGTTTGTCATCAAAGTGAATGTCCCAGTAGTCCCTGTCCAATAAAAGTTAACATTGGCAAGGATAATAGACTAGAGGAGCTGAAGTATGAAGAGCCCTGTCAGCTAAAGGACTTGGTCCAGACTGAGCTTGAGAGGAGATGTCATCCATCCACCCTAAACGGAAACATCACTGGGGGAAAAAAGCTACTTTCCTAAAAACGCTGGCCATTGGCCAACCGTCTAGGACCTTTCTTATCAAGATATCACCACACACCAGAGCAGTCTCTGCTCTACACACTACAGATAAAAATCAACGTGACACCACTCTTTTCAAATCAAGAAAAATTTAATGATTGCCTCAAGGAATTTTCCAGTCCAGCAGAGTAATTGCTAGGGGTTGTGAAGGGAAATAAAATGAGTAAAAATGCAAAGCAGTGCGCAGTAAGACTATTCTCTGATGAAGGTCAAAAAAGGGAAAGTCCTATCTGCTTGGAGAGACCAAGAAAAGTTTTTGGGTGTTTATATGTCCCTGTGCACAAGTGTGACACAGAGCCAGATTTCCACCAGGAGAATTAGAGTGCCGCAAATAAACAACACCTTTTGAAGGGAGACTTGCCTACCTTTTTAGTTACTGACACTAAATGGATGATAGCTCTGAAGTCTAAAATCAATACTTTGCCTCCATCCTTTGGACAGGTTCGAGGGATTTAGATTTGTGAAGCCATGAGCTGGTATGCCCGAAAAGTCCACACCGAAAGCATCTACTGCAGGAGAGTCCTAATTGCGCCAGTATTGAAAGGCGAACACCACCACCTGCATTCAGGGCTGTAAATAGTTGCTCCAGCTTCTCAGGGACATGATAACCTGTGCATATGTAATCCAATCTGTCTTACGACGAGGAGTGTAATTTGTTACAGTGACACACAAAGCCATGTAAGCTCCAGTCCAAGTGGCAAGTAGCTGAGGTTTCCAGCTGTAACTCAGGGTGGTGCTGTCTCTCATCACCAGGGGACAGCTGTACATTGTTCCATAGAGCAGCAGGACCCCCCTAAGCTCATTCCTGAATGTGCTTCAGGTATCAGGCCCACCTAAATAAAGCCACAGCTGCATGTAGAACAGCCCTCATACCTATAAACACGCCAGCACTTTCTCACCTAAAAAAAAATCGTATTACTAACAAAAAAGATCTTGATCCCAGCTGCCATTCCCTCCACCAACCAACTATATGGCTTCTGCCTTACTGTGTAAAGCTTGCAAGATAGTCTCCATTCCTGACTTCTGATTCATTCATTCATTCACCCATTCATTTCTACAAATGCATGTGTTTGAGTGGCTACAATGTGCCAGGTTCTATGCTAGGTGCTGGGGATACAGAGATAAGCAGAACTGGTCATTATCCTCAGGAAGCTTACAGTCTAGAGAGGGAAACTCTACTGAAAATACTCTTTCTAAAGAAATCATTTACACGGCCCCCATTCCCAGGCTGACACCGATTAGTTCGAACATCTATTGCCTGCCTGCTGTGTGTCAAGCGCCATCCTGGGCTTTACCCTGATCCAGAACAATAAGAGTTCTTTTCCCTCAAGAATCTTTGGGAAGCATAGACATTTATACAGGTAACTTGAAACAAATTGGAATGTGTTTAGGGCCATAGTGAAACTTCAGAGTAAATGATTTATAAGCTAGGTGGGAGATAAGAAAAGGAGAGAGAACTTTTCTAGCCCCGAGAATCAGAGAGGGCCTTTTGGATGCGGTAACATTTGAGCTGCCCCCGATAATTGCAAAGAACTCAAAAGAGTTCCACTGATTTGACCATTGTTGGGGTTTTTTCCTGTTCCTTTTTGCTCTTTATTTTCTTTCTTATTGTTTATATATTTGTCTCCTCTTCTTTATGAGGTTATTTAAAGGGTGGAATATATTAGTTGCATTTTATAAACAGGAGAGCTGAGTCCCAGACAGGTCACCGTTTGAGTGCCTCCGCAAACCAGCGGCGAATGCCCAGGTGCCCACTTGCCAGTCCTTGGTTTCATACATCAGACATAACTGCCTCAGAACAGACGTAGCAGTTCCTCAGGGTAATTGGATTTTAATTGAACTGTCCGTATTACAGTGTAAACGCCTCTACAGAGATGGGAGAGCACAAAGCTTGATAAATGAGATCATTTCTACTAATAATTGCTTCTGCATAAGGATTATGGATCTAACCTTCAGGACAAAAGGGCCTCTACAAAGCATGTGCTGAGATTCATTAATTTTTTGAAGTAATTCCACAACTTGAGATGAACGAGCTCTGCCCAGCACGCTCCATGTAGAAAAGCAGTGCGCCTGCAAATGGATGTGGGGGCGTCTTCTCAGTCTTCAGTACCAGGGCTGTGATTAGAGGGCTGTGGAGTATTAGAGTTCAATCTTTCCTGTACAGAGAGCGCTGTGTGGGGGGGAAGGGGGGCGGTGTGTCCACAGCCAGGGTATCGCGACCAAAAGCGGAAAGCAGGGCACGTGGAGGCACCTGCAGCCCTGTGGTTGCCGAGTGGTGCTGGCCGCCCCTGGGGAAAGAGAGCGCTGCAGTGGGTCACGTGCTTCCATCCTGCCTACGGTCCCGATGGGCTGGAAGACGGGACTGTGCCTCAGGTCAGATGCCGTGCGTGCCTACGGGCATCTCCTCTGGGCCTCTTTCTTGTCCTCCCCTTCCACCTCTTGGTACTGCCTGTGCCCCTAGCCTGGAGAGACACCGTGGTACTGGAGAGACACCGTGGTAGGCTGCAGTCAGACCTCGCGGCTCCATGGCCAGGCTGCAGTTGTTCTCAAGCGAGTTCTGGGGCCTCTGAGCTGGAGCATCCTCGGTGCTGCTGAGGAACGGAGCTCCTTTTTAGGGCCCAGTAAGGGTGTCTCTTACCATTACTGCTCCGTCCCCATCCCATCCTATTCATTCCCTTCTCTTTCTTTTTTTCCTTTTTCTCTTATCCATGAAGATTACACCTGTCTGTGTCTGATCACCCCTGGGGCTGGTATTGGACTTGACTGATTCTCAAGTGACATGGGGCTTCAACAGCCTTGTTCCCTGACAGTATGAGTGATGGGAATGCAGGAAATGGTATTATCTCTCAGACGTTAGTTTTGTTTTTTATTAAGCCCTGCAAATAACACCTGCTTGTAAGCACAAACCTGCAGGTTGAATTAATCTTGTCTAAAATATGGTATTCTCTTTCCTAAAAGGAAAATGCTAAAGACATAAAATGGAACCAAAATCAGTAATCCATGTATTTTGCATCTTATTTTGTACTAATGCTTAGATAGTCTATAAGCTAATATTACCTCAACCACCACCCAGTTGCGGAATTTTTGCACCATCTCCCAGGCAAGCACAGGCTCTCAGGCCACCTGTGTCAAGGTGCCTCATGTCTGAGTATCTGCTTTCAAGTCACCTGTTCTGCCACCAAGTGCAGACGTGACCCTCAACGGTAGAGCGACCTGTGTCCTCAGTCTAGAACGTGGTCTCAGTGTGGGTACCCTCCCCCAAGCTTTAGAGAAGGTGTGCCTTACACGGAGCTTCAAGGAGGTCGGGAGAGAAGCAGCCGAGGTTAACAGATGACGACAAATGTATAACAGAGGTTTGCTGTTGACCTGCTGCTCCTCCATCCCAGTGGCACCATCTGGTACAGGGCATCGCAGGTATGGTTCCTTATGCACAAATATAGACTGCTATTTCTGGGTGACTTCAAAAAGAGTTTCTGTAAGTGGGAACCATGTGTTCTACTTGGTGACAGAAATGGAGGCTGCTTCTGATTTTCCAGTTCACCACCTCGTCCTTTTCTCAACAGTTCGCAAAGGGTACCGGATCCAAGCCGACAAGGAGAGAGACTCCATGAAGGTCCTGTACTACGTGGAGAAGGAGCTGGCTCAGTTCGATCCAGCCAGGAGGATGAGAAGTAGATGTGAGCATCTGTTAGTTTTGTGTTGCCTATGCATCCTGCAGGGGTTCATCGATAAGAGGGATTTGGGTTTTACCAACTTGGGTGGCTTTGACCTGCCAGGTCTGAACTAGCAAGGTGCTGGTGACTCTATCCTGAAAAAAGTAGCTTTGAATACATAGAGAGGAGAGAAAGGGCTTCTGGTAGAAAGCAGAACAGTCATATACCACGTGTGTCTCCCCAGGGGCAGTCAGATTTGCTGGGCTATGCAATCCTGGAGTTGGAAGTGTTTTTGTTAGAACAGTTTTGCCCTACTCCTCCCTTTAAATACAGTCAAAATAATGACTGAACGACGTGTGTCATTCCCAACACGAAAGGGCCAGCGTTGAACAATCGTCCAGCCGCCAACATGCTGCACGGAGGCCCCAGTGAAGGTGGAAGACAATCCTGCTAAAGGGTCTCATAAAAGAGAGGCCCACCCTCCTCTGAGGGGCCCAGCAGCAGAGACTGAGGGGCAAGTAAAGAGGCCACCCCTCTGGTTAAAAGAGCTTTAAATTACCTAGTCTGTAGGTGGCTGGACCCCAACGCTTAACTTGCCCACGGCCCCTGGGGACCTGCCAGCTGGCCCAGCTGAGTCTTTGGGCTGGATTCCCAGTTACCATCTGTCGCTGTGGGCAGCACAGGGCAGGTCTGACGTGGACAGGCAAATTGTCAGGGTGCTGGCAGACATGGATGTGGGGCTACTACGTCCCCCTCTTGGAACCAGTGGGAGACCTGGTGGAACTGTTGGGGAAACAGTCCCAGACTGAAGGAGGTGCATTCCAATGAAGGACAACATTTTCCTCCCAGTTTGCAGTTCTAAATCCATTCTGTCTGGGGTGTACCCATTGCTGCATCCTCCCACTGCACCTGCTATAAAAAGACCGTCTCCAGATTGGGATGTCGGGAAGGCAGATGTCACTGCACCTGACATGTTAGTTGTCACAGTGCTGTCATGGAGCCGTGTTTAAGGGACAGAGACAGAGAGTCAGCAATCGGGGAGAAGGAGCCTGTGGAGGAAGCCTGTGAATCTCACAGCTTGGAGGAAAAGTTAAAAACTGAGGTTAAAAGTAAAGGGCGACTCCTGGTGGAGGTGATGTCTTCTGTCTCCCTGGGTTAGGTCGGTCTCCAGGGCCTGGCTGGTCGTAAGGAATGGAATCTTAGCATCCAGGGGGATCTTAGAAGTGGCCTGAGATGACCCATGCGGTGAGGGACCAGAAGAGCAGGGGGTCGAAGTGACGGAATCCGGACTAGAACTCAGCCCATCTCATTCCCAGGCCTGCGCTCTTTACACACGGAACTTGTGAGCAGGCTGTGGATGGCTCAACGGCTACAGCAGCCGTTTCTGTTTGGAGACCACAGCCTTCCAGCTCACAGGACTTCAGGATGTCAGAGCTGGAAGAGACTGGCATTGGTGAATTCCCTCCCTCATTTTACGGAGAAGAGGGAGACCGGTGGGGAGAGCCACCAGGGCCAGAACTCAGCCAGTGCCAGCACGGGAGCCCGGGTCTCCCGGAGCCTGCAGGTTGACCTTATGATAACTGCATAGAGGTGGAGTAGGGACCCAGTTCACTTGACCTGGAGCAGGTCTATTCCTGAAGAGCAAAGTAACCCTGGGGATGGGTCCTGGCAGTGGGACAGCCTTGAAGATCTGATTGCAAAATGGGTCTCATGGTTCCAGGTTGCAGCGAGGGGGTAATTGATTTGTAAGAATTGGGAGTTTCAGGTTCAGGCTCTGAATTCTCTAGCCAGTGTCATCCTCGTTTCCCTTGCCCCTTGTAAGTCTGGGACGCTCTCAGAATGTTTTTAGTCCAGAATCTCAGGGCACGGATCAGCAAACTTTCTCCTGTTCTTGTACATAGTTTATTGGAACACAGCCATGCCATTCGCTTATATATATCTCCTTACACTTAGGTATGACCTATGTCACTTGTGTCTGGCTCCTTTCATTCTACAATGGCAGAGCTAAAAGCTGTGACAGCATGGCTTGCAAAGCCAAAAATAGTTACTTTCTGGCCCTTTACAGAAAAAGTTTGCCTCCTCTGTCCCAGAGGCACATTATTCGGTGTCTGTGAGGCAGGGGATGTTGGTGTTCATGCTCAGAGTGGCAGGAATTTCAGAGCAGCAAATAAGCCGGACAGTCCGGCACTGGAAGTGGGAGGCAGAGACAGCCCTCCCCGTGTGGAGAAGCAGAAAAGGCCCAGCATCCCTGAAGTTTAAGGGACGTTCCGAGACAACAGTGCAGTTTTTCAAAAGTCTCCCGTAGTGTGTTGTAAAGTTCTCTTCTGTACGGTTCCCAGGAGATTGGGATTTACTGAGATCGTGAGAAAAGGAAGTTTTTGGATTTTACTAATCAATAGGATCTGGGCTATTTTCCTCTAATAAAGATGTGCACTGAATGGCGCATTCTTAGGAGGAAGAAAAGGTTTAAAAATTAGATTATAATTCAAAACCAACTGATTGTATGACCAAAATGAATGGCATTCACAGTAAGCCCTGTATCTTGGTAACAGGACAAGGAGGCTGTGTTTATGCCGTGGGGGGGGTGGGGGGTGGGGAGGCCCTCCCTCCCTGTCATGGGTACAAATCAGCAAATATTCTCTGCTCCTCCACACAGTCAGGAATAGAGAGAGAGAGAGAGGCACCTGAAACACATTTGTGCCTCCCACATCCCATCTTGGCCTACCTTTCACTTAACAGCCAGGCCTTACACCTTGTAAATGTTGTTTTTTAGTATTTTTTGAAGTTCTAACCAAAAGACATTAGAAAACAAATGGATTCAGTTACCCTATAAATAGATCCACTGGGCTTACTTCTTAAGTAAAATGATATTCAATCCATTTCAAAGTTCTATAAATAAATGGTTCAATTTTTTTTTTTTTTTTCTTTCCAGACTGTGATTCTGGTCCTTATTCACAAGGGTTTTTGCAAAAAGCTACTCAGGCCACTTGAGGAAATGAGAAAGCTGCGAGCAGGCCCCACTCCCCTTACAATTTTAGGCTGAGGCAAGAGTTCAAGAGGAGGCCAATAGACCAGAAGTGCAGCCCACCCCCTTTTCTTCCCATACCTCCAAGCAGCTGTCCTGGGTACCTGTGGCCGCGTACACCTGGAATACTCTTTGGGGGGAGGAGAGGGAAGATGTGTACCTAGGCCCTGGAAATGGACTCGGTGCCGTTTGGGGAGGGCACTCCAAGTTCCTGGAAGAATGGCCAGAAGGGGGACGGGTGGACATGATGCTCAGTCCCCCAGACCTCATGGACTCCGTGCTGTGGAGGGGGCATGGCTGAAAGAGGCCGGAATGGCGGGTCCCTAAAGCCTGGGCAACAGCAGGGGAGATACTGTGATGTGTGGCTTCTCTCCCTCTCTTTGGGCCCCTTTTGGCTCATCATCACAGCTCATCACAGAATTACTCAAGAAGAATAAAAACATTTGAACACGGATGATGATGCCCAAGGAGGAGCCCAGCTGCTGAGCCCAAGTTCTGGGAAGCCTGCCTTAGGGGGCACAAAAGCAGTTGTTTTTCCAATGCCAAGAATAGAGCACGTAGGAAGCCTCCCTCTCTGTAAGCAAGTGGGCTTGGAGCTGCAGCCGGTTCCTGCTGAGCTAAGCACCCCCCCCCCCACTAGTTCAGGTCTGCAGCCCATGGGCTGGGCCCTCAGATGGGAGTCTCCTGGGGCCGCTGGTCTCAGCCTGAAACAGTTTCCGTCCTGACTAGCATGTAGACGGCTCTGTCGTGCTTGTTTTATCCCTGCAGATAACAACACCATCTCAGAGCTCAGCTCCCTGCGCGAGGAGGACAGCGGTTTCCGCCAGTCTTACCATCAGATGCGAAGCAAGCAGTTCCCCATGCCGGGGGAGTTGGAGTGCGATCCTGAGTACTGGTCAGGCGTCATGGGGGGCAGCAGCGGGGCAAGCCGGGGGCCCTCGGTCATGGACTATGACAAAGAGGATCGGGAGAGCTTCAGGCACAGGTGACGGTGGCTGCGAATGGAGGCTCTGGTGCTGGGTGCCGGCGTCGGAGCCCGGGGCGGGGAGGATGGGGGCCGTTCCTCGCCAGGAGCACGTGTGCCCCTGCCCTGGGTCTCCTGCCACAGCATGCGCTCTCTGTTGAGCGTCCCCTTCTCCCTCTGCTTTGCAAGGGAACACTTGAGAGCATGTGAGGAACTAGTCGCCCAAGGCCCTCTGAAATGGGTGGTCTAGGGCACTTTGTGGACCTGGTTAACATGTGCCTGCCCTTCTCAAACGTTTTATCCTAGAACCTCTAAAAATTCCTACCTACTCTTTCCATCATTTTGGATCATTTGTTATGTGAAAGATAAAATGCCCAACACATTCTCCTATTGTATTTGATTCTCATAACTCTAAAAGGCGCTATCTAAAAGGTACTATTAATGTCCCCATTCTAAGTTGGGGAAACTGAAGCTTACCGATGCCAAGGAAGTTACCCAGGGTCACATGGCCAGTGAATGTGGGAGGCCAAGATGCGTGTCCTTTCCCACTCACCTGTCCTTTACCTTGAAGGACAGCAGACATTGCCTTTCTCTCAAACTTAACCAACTGCAAGGGACCCTCCAGCCTCTGCGGGGAAAGGTAATTCGTCCCTCAGCTCCGAGGGAGGAAGGGCCTGCCTGTCACCGAATATTACAGGGGTCCCTGCAGCCACAACGGTGTGTACACGCCGTACCACCCCCGCTGGCCCCGAGGTGTGAGGCACGAGGCGAGGCTGTCACCCAGAGGTCCCTTAGTGATTAGAAGGCCCCAGCCTGTGTCAGCGGCGCGCAGATGGTGGCGTATTTCCATCCCCACGAACTCCCGGGATGGACCCTGGTGCCCTGGCCTTCCTCTGCCGTGTGAGCGTCCAGGGCGGGCAGGTGCTGGGGGCGCCCCGGAGCCCTCGCTCCCCACCCGCTGACCGAGCCCCTTCCCCCGCAGCCAGCCGCGCTCCAAGTCGGAGATGCTGTCCCGGAAGAACTTCGCCGCCGGGATCCCGGCCGTGTCCATGGACGAGCTGGCGGCCCTGGCCGACCCCTTCGGCCCGCGGGCCCGCCGGGCGGACGGCAACGGCCACGAGGCCCGCGGCGCCGCGCGCTTCGAGCGCCCCGAGGCGCGCGCGCCCGCCGGCTTCTACCCCGGCTCGCCGGAGGGGCGCCCCGGGCCGCGGGGCCGCCGCGAGCCGCCCGGCGCCGACCGCTGGGGCCCCAGCCCGGCGCGCCGCAGGCCGGAGGACGCGCTGCTGCCGCGCCTGGTGAGCCGCACGCCGGGCGCCGCGGGCGCGCTCGAGGCCTCGCTGCGCGCCGGGCCCCCCGAGGGCGCCAGCCGCGGCGGCAGCCTGGAGACGCCGGGCCGGCGGGGCGCGCGCGGGGCAGCCTTCCTGGGCTGGGCGCCACCCGCCGCGCTCGACGCGGGCCCCGGGGACGCCGCGGCCGCCGACGCGCTGCCGCCCTACAGCGAGCGCGAGCCGGGTCGCCGCCCGTCCCTCCGCAGCCGCGAGCCGCCCGTGCCCGGCGCGGCGGACCCGAGGAGGAGGAAGGACGCCGCCAGGAAGGCCGTGAGCGCGGGGCCGGGCCGGGCGGGGCGGAGGACGCTGGACTCGGGGGCGCTGGCGGCCTTCCGACGGCGGGCGGGTGCGCGCTCCCCGCGGAGGGCCGGGGCCGCGGAGGGCAGCCCCCCACTCGGGCAGTTCGCGGAGCGCCCGCGCCCGCTGTGTGGGGAGGAGCCCCTGCCCTCCGGGTTAGCCGTCCGTCCTGTGCGGGGCCCTTCGGAGGCCCCATGGCCGTCCCTGGGTGCCCAGCCCTTAGCTGTGGGCTCTGGGCCTCGGGAGGCCCCCAGAGCCCCCCATGGGTGTTCCTCGGAGGTCCCATCTGCACCGGAGGCCACTCTCCAGGCCCCGACCCACCCCTCCCACCGTTTCCAAGCCGGGCCTTTTCTTTGGCGTGTCGGTGCCGTGCGTTCTGACATGATTATTACCCCCTCCACGACAAATACCTTTCATTGCTCTTTAAATAGAAAAATGAGGTGACCGCAGCGCCGTGGGAAGGGAAGGAACTCCTGGGCGAGGAAGGGTCTGGGGACACCGCCCGTGCCAGCCGTGGAGCTGTGCATGTCGCAGCAGCCCCAACGGGGTGGGGACTCACTGTGTGGCCGTGGAACGACGTTCCATCTGCTGTATATTGGCTCGAGCACCGGACAAGGCTTAGGAGCAGGAGGCGCAGCCTAGGGAGAGATCCCGAGTCAGGGCGGGCCAGGCGCCGGCACACGTGGCGGACTCTGCCCCGGACCTGTCTGCTGTGTTGGGCTGGTTTCCTTTAACCGTCAAGTGTGGTTTTAACATTCAGTCCTTTCTGCTCTTCCTCAGAGTGACTTTCCGACTAGGATGTCCCTTGTGGTCTGACGTTTGTTTTCGAGACATCTCTCAGGATGACTAGAAGTCAGAACTGGACTGCGGACCCGGGTAGGACACGTCCAAGAGCCAGCAGCCCCGGGACCTTCTCTGGCCAGCAGTGTAGAAGATTTTCTGATCTTTGCTTTGGCAAGGGTTGGGGGGCAGCCTTTTAAGAGAGGCTGATTCCAAACCTCGGTGCCCATCCAACTAGTTGGAGAAGCTTGTCAGGAGAGCAGCTGTGTGTGAGAACATCCCCACACGTGGAGTTCATCACCCACGGAGTTCATTCTGCCCAGTCTCCTTCCAGAGCTGTTCCAGGATTCCTCTTACACATCCAAAACACAGTTAGTTCTGGACTGCGAATCCCCAGAAAACGCCTGTGCCTGCAGAATGCTTCTCTACACCTTCTGTGCTGTGCTTGGAGGCAGAAGAATTTATCACTGCAATTAGGAGGCCTTCTGCTGACACTGGCAGATGGCTTCAGGCAAAATATACCTTTTACTGCACCACCTGGCAGTCACTGGTCAATGACTGCTGTTTCACTAAAATCAGACGGCCTCTGGTGGGCTCAGTGACAGCGCCCTGCTGGACAGTCACAGAAATTATTTCCAATTGCTGTTCTGAATGACAGTTCTTGAGTGGCTGGAGCAAAACAAAAGAGAGAATCCGTATAGAAAAGCTAAGTGCGTTTCCTCTGCCATTCTGAGAACATAGATTGCTTTTCTGTTTATGTACACGGTGGCATCTGAGTCTCGGACACCAAGGGCTCTTCTCATCCTCCCCTCCCTGGACCATCCACGGTTCGGTGCCACACACAGCGCCTCACCTCCCTCTGCCCTCTGATTAGGTTGTCATCAGGTGCCTTTTGATACATGCTTAAAATGCGCACATGAAGAAAAGAAGGAGAAAACAGCAGAAATGCACAATAGAGAAGAACGAGTGGGTATCTAAGAGGAAAAGAATATATGGTCCTGTTATATTTTGGATGTGAGCCATTTTCCCCCACAAACTCTATTGGGTCATCTCTGGTTTTGTATTTCATTTCCCACGCATTGTTTCTGGCATTCCAGGACCCCAGAGGTGTGGAGCATGCATCTCTCGGCCTCTCCAGGTTGCCGTTCTAGCCTTTGGGAGATGAGGGACACCGCTTTCTCAGAGCCACTTTCCTATTCCCAGCCTTGCCTAAATGATCGGTTCTGCCTACATCCCAAAGCTAGATCTCTTTGGATTTTGTCACAAATTCTTCCCTTCTCCTCGAGAGGTACAGTCTGTTTCTCCACCCTTTGAATCTGGGGTTGGTCATGTGATTCGATTGGGGCGGTGGCCCAATAGCAAATGTGATGGAGGCCGAGACTGGAAAGCTTGTGCGCAGGGCTCACCCCCTCTTGCATCTCTTGGGGACCTTGCGTCACCACCCGGGAGAGCCTGGGCTCTCTCGCTCCACCGGGAGAGGAGGGTTACCCCGGTTACCCAGCCTGACAGCCCGCCCACTCTCCACGGTTCGCAAACATGCGGGCGAGCCCCGCCAAGACCAGGGGAAGAACTGCCTCGCTGAGCCCAGCCCGTTGGTGATTCCTGCTCGAGGCAGGAGAAGCGGATGCCCTCTTTAAACGGTCATTTCTCTGTAAGGAGGATCTGACTTTTTCTCCTTGTCTGAATATTTGACTCCATCTAACCTTAGGTGTCTCACAGTCTCCACTTTCGCTGACAGACCTTTGTCAAAGCATTTCACCCCACGCTGTTACGGTGGGACATGGGGTTGGGTCAGATCACTAGAGGGCAGTGATGTTTGGCCTCCCTGTCCCCCTGCTCCCAGCAGTGGTCCATTCTCTGTCTTCAGATCCATGGACAACTTTGGAAGAAGGTTTCTTCTCCAGCCTCTCCTTGGCCTTTCCCGGAGCCACTGGACTGAAGCTGAGCCCTATTCTCAGAACCCCATTCCACTGGTATCTATGAAGTCACGGCATCTCCCAAACAGTCCCACGTGTGCCGTGAAATAAAGAAGGTCTGGGTGAGGGTCAGAGGCTGACTACCGATGTTGGGAGGAGGATCGGCCTCCTGAGGACTTCACAGTGGCTTTGGGCTGTTCGGGGGGTGGGGTGGACCAGCAGGATGTCTTCGCCCAGTGCTGGCACCTCCATGGGCTGGAAGACACAAGCCATAACCTTGGTGCTGAGTTTTACACTTGCTGGTGCCCGGCCTCTGAAAGCCTAGGTCTAATCTGTCTGTTTAGGCCCCAGTTTGGTTCGAAAAGATTAAAACATCATTTCTTAGTCACCAGCTTTGGATTTCCACTTGCTCAGGCAATTCTGGAGAATATGGGTACCTGTCGTAGCTACTATCTCTTTACACTGAGCACTGTGCCAGGCTTCTCACCACCAAAGAGCGCATAGCACCAGCTGCAGAGACCAGAAATACTGCTTTTATTAGCCAGGGGCAGGCGTGATTTCTGTAAGGGTGGAGGGCAACGCTGGGAAAGAATTGTTAAAATTGGAAACGTGCAGTTCCAGAGGCAACAGTGCCACAGACGAGGAAAACACAGAAAGAGGGCCAGAGGGCCCTGAAAATAACCCGGGGAGGTGGGGCCAGGCTGCCCTCTGCAGGGCTCCTAAATCGCTTAGGCTTCCAGGCCCCCCACCGCAGGATGAAACAGCCATGCTGGGTATGTGCACAGGAGACAAGAGCTGACCAGACGCAGGCGGAGCTGGCCGCCCTCCGCACCTGGCGTGTCCTGTTTCTTTTCCCCCAAATGGCATGTCCTCTGTAGGAAGTGCTTACATGTGTTAGCTTCCTTCCTAGTTTTTATTGGGATACAAAATAAGTCAATGTAAGACATGGTCTCTGTCCCCCGGGACATTAGACATGCCCAAGGTTCTATGTCTATAATATGAAATACTGCTATGGATAAATTAAAACAAACCCAGAGAATTAAAGTTTTTTAATTTAAATGGATGTATTTTGATATTTGTGTGGTCTGTGTTTGTGCATCCGCCCCACTTAAAGATACGCTCAGTGATCTGAAAAGCCAGTATTAAAACATCTGAAGGAGAGGAGGTGGCTGAGGATGGGAGCCGGAGTTAGAGGCCTCGGGAGTGCTGGGTGAGCTGCTCTTGGCCCGTGAGTCGGCTGAGTCAGGGACGTGGTGCACGAGGGCGCGTGGGTGCAGGGAGCAGGACGTGTCCTGGCGGATGACGCATTCTCCAGGCCGTGCATGGACGCGTGAGGAAGTTGGGCACGTTTGCTGTGGAGCTGGTGGCAAGGGGTGGGCTGTTCCACCCTAGTGTGCTCACAGGGAGCTGGCATCTGCCTCCATAGGGGCCCGGTTCTGCAGCCTGGAGTTGTGGCCACCCGCCCTAACACAAGACAGGTTTGCAGAGAGGGTGGGCATCGCCCCCGCTTCCCATGATCCTCGCCGTGCACCTAGCACAGGACTGAGCAGATGAGACCAGAAGGGGCTGCCGCACTAGCCCAAGGTGCTCTGTGGGGAACACCTGGCTACATCTGTAAGTATTTCTAAATAGTCTGAAAGGCTTCAGAGAGGTGATCTGATTCAACCTTATGCAGCCTTTGAGAAAGGCTGAAGTCACATTGCTGTAACCCTGCCCGCTTTCTTTATAGATGGAGAAGTAAACCATTACTGCCATTAATGAAGACACAAACCTAATCAGGTCTTTAGACTCCAAGTCAGTAGGTCTTTTCTACTAGATTGGTGTTTCCTCAAATCGCCTAACCATACAAATGACTTGACTGCTGTTAAAAATGCATCACTGGGCCCTGCCTTGGCGGGTGATTGTGTGTGTCTGGGGCCAGAGTTCATACTTTTAACATTTCAGGATGGTCCTGTGATCAGATGCGTTTGGGAGGTGCTGCACTAGATCATACATCTAGGCCCTGGTAAACCCCCAGCAGTCGGTCCTGAGGCTTTCTTGGGCCTTGAGATTTCTGTGCATGTCCCGGTGAGGTCCCATGGACTCCCTTGGGGCTGGCAAGGGCAAAGCCCCCGGCAGTCTGGCCGTGAGGGTGGTGACTGGCTTGCTATACACCTGTGCGAGGCGGAGGGAAAGGAAAGCTAGGCCCTCCCCAGGGGCCCATTCTGGAGGTTTCCAATCCTAGAACAGTGATCTGTTATGACAATCTCAGATCTGACAACAAGAATTACAGGTAATTTTCTCATTCCCTTGATGTCATTCTGAGCAAAACTTAGATCATGAACAGAAAGAAAAGAGACCACTGGGGAGATGGCAAAAATAAATCATTTTTTGAAGCTTTCGTATTATCAGCCTGGCTGGTCCACCCCCTTCCACCTTAAGGCCCCAAATGAGTTGGGCAAGAATAATTAAATATATGTGATGTATCCTTCCCACATCAGATTCAAATGCCGCCAAAATCTTACAGGAGTTAAAAATCGATTTATAGCGTGTAGAGACCCAAATTCACCAAAATAGGGGCCCAGGTAAAATCCTAGAAGAAAAAAGTGCCTCATGTTTTTCTGCCAGGTTCCTTCCTAGTTACGGGGAAGCTGCTGAGTGAAGCTCTAAGCCAGGGCCTTTCCCCTAGAGTGAAACAAGGAGAATGCTAAACTGATGGAGGCAAAGCCTGAGTTTTACATTGCCTGGGGGTGATAAGGTTAATCGTAATATCTGTATGGTTTTTATGGCGTGTTACTGCTCACAGGCCACCTTCACGTGCATTATCCCATTTGATCTACAACCACCTCCCGTGAGCGAGGCAGGGAGGGTGATACGGTCCCATTAAATAATACAACTGAGGCTGAAGAGGCCGAATGCTTTGCCTATAGTCAAATGACCTTAAAAATCACAGCCAGGCCTGACCATCTATCCAGGTTCTTTCCAATCCCTACAATAAATGTGGGACTGACTCTTGAGGGCCAAGCACCTGGCAAGGAGAGTCCTGGGCCCTTGCTCATGCCCGGCGGTCAGTGGTGAAGCCGGGAACGTTGACGCCTGCTGCTCCTTCATCCCACCCGGCACAGTCCGCAGGCGCTGCTCTGTGAGGGGGTCAGCTCCACTCAAGGGGTTTCATTTTCTTTAGCTGTGCTGTGTGGGGAAAAGACTTTGGTAAAAATGTGCTTCAGATTTTAACATCCTTTTCAAAGAGAAGTTTCTGAGCCAGGCTACAAACTCACCTAGACCCAGAATTCTGGGGCTTGTGGGTGACCTGCTTAGGAATGAACTGTCTGGCATCTTTGCTGCGTTTTGGGATTTGAGGTAGGACTAAGAGGGCCAGACATAGAGGGAGACAATGAAGCCGTTTAATTGAAAGTTGGTTGGAGTTTCTTGGTGGGGGTGGACATGGGTTCATGTGGCCTGACCCACTTGCTCTGGAAAGGCTAAAAGACATGCAAGAAACTTCTCTCTTACCTTGGCTTTAAGGAAAAGCCACGTTAGTCTCAAAGGTATTAGACATTAACCCCTGGGAATGTCCCTTGTGGGAATAAACAAAAAGGGGATACAAGGAAACAATGGGACAAAGAGGGGTCGGAAATCCCACCGCGTCACCCGCCCACTTGTTGTCGTGCCCTGTCTGTGGCGTCCAAACCAAAATGTTT